ATATATATATATATATATATATATAATTACTTAATAAACTATAAATACTTTAATAATTTAAATAAATATAAAAATGATAATACAGAAACAAATATGTATATACATATTCATATTTTTATACTCAATTAAAAATATTAAATATTATTCAAATAGTGTAACATCTCATTTTAATAAAATATTTTTACTAAAATAAAATATTAATAATTAATATTGAAAAACACATAATGTATAATTAGAGGGTAATTATTCCTAACATAACGAGAATGACAAGACAAGTATATGAATATATACAACCCAAGGAAACCAAAAACTACGTAAAGAAAACATTTAATTTTTCAAAAGAACCTATAGAACTAGAATTATTATCCTAGAATTATACCATTGTCTCACCATCTCCCCCTATATGTAGCTTAATTTCTACTTCATTATCTACTCACACTAATAGAAGTGATCACTATATAAGAAAAACACAACACAAAACAAGCTAACAAGAAGAATAGAGTAAGCTAATATAGAAAATATATATCATTTAAACATGTAGTAGTGATAATCCTAAAGCTTCTAAAATTTAATTAATTATTTTGGCACCCAAGATATTGATTGGTGTCTAGGAACATCAAGTCAGCGAGTTCTCTAACTTTGGTGTTGTCTAGCGAGAAAAACCCTTGTTCAACAACAACCAAATTAGAGAAGTAAATGTATAAGTGGCGTCCAACACCATCTCAATTTGTAGAAAAATCCCTTGTTGAGTTTAACTTGTAAAATTTGACATTCCTTTAACTAATTCATAGTATCAAACATTTTAAAGATCACAAAATCATAGTTTTTAACTCAACCAGTGCCATATTACCCAATTCAAATCTCCAAGAGACATTCAACACAACAACTAAACCAAATTTCATACTTCCTACATTTCACACTTGAACCAAAACACAACAACGTATCATTCACAAGTTATGCAACCAGATTCACCAATTCATAACTCAATTGCACAAAACATGATTTCTCACCGTTTTATCACACCACATGTGTTCAATCATAGCTCTAAACATTTAATTCAATCGTCTACACATTATCAAACATATCAATTAAATCATAACAGTACCAATTCATATTATGCACTAAAATCAATTGAAGAAATCACTTAAGAACAAAAATTAGCTTCTCTCACCTTACCAAATTGTTCAAAATGTTTTAAGACAACTCAACACCTCCAATATCATAGAACAATCTATCGACGCATAGAAACATTAAGAATATAATCAAATCATACCGTTATGATCATAGATTAATAGAGAATCTCATTGAATATTTTAGTACCACATGCTAGCCAGAAGGACTCGAATGCAAGAAGAATAACGATAAACTAAGAAAAGACAAAAAAAAAACTTTACTTACTCAAATTAAATATTGACGGATTAAATTTGAAGAACTTGTCGCGATGATCACTCTAATACTTTCATATATTTAAATGGAATAATAAAAGTGAGATAATCTAGATAGAAGAAAAATATTTTAAAAAATGATTTCTAAAAAGATATCAAGTTTTTAAAATAAAAAAACTCATTTTGTACTTTTTTTATATTAAAATATTTTGAAAATATCATCAATCCTAAAATACTATTTTATAAGTATTTACATCTAATCAAACGGAAAATTTTCAATTAAAACACATAGTTAAAAAAAAACAACTATATTTGTCGTCCCTAGTTATCGACACAAATGATACCTCTCACTCCCTCTCCTTGTCTCTAATTACATAATTACACCAACTTTTCGCCACCAACCCAAAGCATCTTGCGCAAATTGCATTGCACTGGTGGATACGATTGTGACATTTTCTTTATCACCGATGTTATGAGCAACAAACTTGCTTATTTTAATGGTTAACAAAAGATAGTAAAAACAAAATACAAAAAAATAGTAAGATAAACGTTAAAAGAGATGAAAAGATTATTATAAATAAATATTATAGAAAAGAAGATAACGTATGCATTAACAGTGACATGAATTTTTACACTGTATTTACCCAAAGTTGGATGTATTAAAAAAATACATTTAATAACGCAATAATATATTCATGATATTTTTGTATTTTTATAAAAATTAATTTTTAAAATTATTTATTGTAGTCTTTTAACTCTGAAATTTGATTTATTATTGTCTTTTTGAAACAGTACTTATTTTCAATTTGGAGCATATTTTTTTTTGTTTTACTTATTTTAAAGACATACAAATTGTCTCATTATATTATTTATATAAATTTTAAGAAACCACAGCAATGTTGAATAAAAATGACCAAAAATATAGTAGATCATAAGAAACGTAGACATACAAACACTAAAAATAAAAATATGCATTGAAATTTTTAAGTTTAATTAACACACAAGAACATGAATCAAAAAGATGTCTTAGGCAACTAATTTAAAACGTAAATTCTATGATAAAATTTAAAACATAAGAAATTAAAATTGCATCTTACATATTTTTCCATGCATTTATATATCCGAAAATAAAAACAATGATGAGGAAAAAAAGTGAATAATTTTTATAAAATAAAAGAAAATTAATGTTATACACTCTTTTTGTCAAGTTAAAAAAGAAAAAGAAAATCAAATACTGAATGAAATCTAACAAATACATGCCCAATGTGGGACTCACTATAAATGCTCGCTTCTCCTTCTTTAGATCTTTGCCTCAAACACCATTCTCCGTTTCCAAGAACACCAAACTCAAAACACTAATTTTCTTCTTCGTCATCACCGTAACCATGTCAATGGCAACTTCTCCTCACACCGCTCTCTTCCAAACCCGCACCACCCCTTTCCGCCTCTCTTCCCCTCGCCCCACCTCCTTCAAACCAACAACAGTCAAATGCACCACCCAGCTCCACACCCAACCCCCACCCCTCACCCACGCCCAAGATCGCGTCTTCAACTTCGCTGCCGGCCCTGCCACCCTCCCGGAAAAGGTCCTCCTCCGTGCCCAATCCGAGCTCTACAACTGGGGTGGATCCGGCATGAGCGTTATGGAAATGAGCCACCGCGGCAAGGAGTTTCTCTCCATAATCCAAAAGGCCGAATCGGATCTCCGCACCCTCCTCCAGATCCCGCCGGAGTATTCCGTCCTCTTCCTCCAGGGCGGCGCCACAACCCAATTCGCAGCCGTGCCTCTCAACCTCTGCTCCCCTGACGACGCCGTCGACTACATCGTCACTGGCTCCTGGAGCGACAAGGCGGCCAAGGAGGCGCAGAAGTACTGCAAACCCAACGTGATCTGGTCTGGGAAATCCGAAAAGTACACAAAGGTTCCGTCTTTTGGCGATTTGCAGCAGAATCGGGGTTCCAGGTATTTGCATATTTGTGCCAATGAGACTATTCACGGGGTTGAGTACAAGGAGTACCCTGTTCCTCAGAGTGGTGTTTTGGTTGCTGATATGTCATCAAATTTCTGCTCGAAGCCTGTGGATGTGTCTAAGTTCGGAGTTATCTATGCCGGCGTCCAGAAGAATGTGGGGCCCTCTGGTGTGACCATTGTGATAATCAGGAAGGACCTCATTGGGAATGCTCAGGGTCTCACTCCTGTGATGCTTGATTTCAAGATCCACGATGATAACAATTCACTCTACAACACCCCTCCCTGTTACGGGATCTACATGTGTGGGTTGGTGTTTGAGCATTTGTTGGAGCAAGGGGGGTTGGTGGAGGTTGAAAAGAATAATAAGAAGAAGGCTGATATTCTGTACACTACAATTGATGAGAGCAAAGGGTTCTATAGGTGCCCTGTTGAGAAGTCTGTGAGGTCATTGATGAATGTGCCATTCACTTTGGAGAAATCAGAGTTGGAGGGTGAGTTCATCAAGGAGGCTGCTAAGGAGAAGATGGTTCAGCTGAAGGGACACAGGTCAGTGGGAGGAATAAGGGCTTCCATTTACAATGCCATGCCCTTGGCTGGGGTTGAGAAGTTGGTAGCTTTCATGAAGGATTTTCAGGCCAAGCATGCTTGAAGGAAGCTCGGTCAGATGTTTGAATTGCATAATCATAATCATACAAACCATTGCATCCAAGTTTGGGTGTGATGCTCTAAATTCTACTTTTTGTGCACTAGCTTTTATCTAAATATTTGTCTGGTATACGCAGAAAGGGTCGAATATGTTGTCAGGTTTTTGCTCTCTGTAGGTTGTTAGGTACCTTACTGTCTCTTCCTTCGCTTTCTTCTGCCATGTTTGATATTCAAATTTGTGTCGGCTAGGTAATGTTTTCATTGCACTTTACCGTTGTTTACTTCTGAATAAAAAATCAAATGAGGATGAAAATTGAGACATATATTGAACTGATTTACTGCAACAAAGGTTGATGGAAGGAAAAGTTATTGTCTGTATGTGTAGTGTTGGTGTATTGCAGGCATTGAATTTGAATGAATCAGAATTTTCAATGGGCTTTTTTAAATTCTATTCTTAAATAAGTTTTGAATTGTATTTGTTGTTTGATTTTATAATTTTAGTGTACAGATTCGAATTCCCAACTTTTAGAGTGTGTTTTAGCTGCTACTTCACGCAATAATTCTGACACGATTGATCCACATGGAAATGAGAATAGAAAATGAGAAGTGAGATGAAACAAAATTGGGGTAACAAAATTGGGCAGAGTTTGAAATTGCGGGTTTCATTTTGTGATTTCAAAACCTTAGAGAGAAGTTGTTTCATTCCATCCACCTACCCATTTTTGTGTCCATTCTCAACGGCCGAAGCTTATGGGAAGAGACATGAAAATGGGTGAGTTTCGTGAACGACGGTATACCACTATTCTTGAGAATGGGTAGGAAAATGAGTGGTGGATTAGAGAGAAAACTTTTTTCCGGGATTCTCTTTCAAAGGTTCTTTCATATTGCAATTTTGAAATGACAAAATGAATTTCACAACTTCAAATCCTGTCCCAATTTTGTTTTCACGTTATTTTCTGTTTTTTATTTTCATTTTCATGTTGTTAAAATATCTAAAAATGAAAGATCTAAAAATGGAAAAACTTGAAAGAACACTACTTTTTGTGGTAAAAAGCATGGTTCTGAAAAAAAAAAACTGAAGCGAATTTGACTCTTCGAACTCATGAAATTAATCCCAATCAGTGAAAATCTTGTCAAATCAGTAAAAACTAGTTTATCTAAATATATGCTGTAAGAACTTATAGAATTATTTGAATCGTCTTTGTTATGTTTTATTTTATTTTTAGTGTAAGATCCATCAAAAATATAAATATAATAAGTTTATAAAATGTGTAAAGTTAAATAAGAAATTTTGGTAACTTAATTGGTAGAAAATTTTGGTAATGGGTTCAAACTTTTTTCTACCTCTTTGTAAAAAAAAAAAGTAAAATAAAATTTAATGGAGAAAACATTCATATTTGAAGTCATTATTAAGGAATCCATTATGAATCCATTATGTAAGTGGTGAAT